TCCATTTTTTTCCCAGGATTCTCAGCAACTTTCCAAGGTTTCAGTGCAAAAAAGTCATTCTCTGACTGGACTTTCCTCTCTCTCTTCCAACACCCTTCCAGTGCATATTACAGATGCAACTAGAAAAAGGGAATCTGCTATTAGGTAAGTAGAAAAGTTTGCCTACAAGACAATACACCAAAGGCGGTGTTTCCCCTCATCAGGTCAACTACATCGACAATACTTTTCCTAAATGTTTCTGTCTCCTTTCTTTGCTAATTCTTGCCCTGCCTCCCAGTTGACTTGGGAGCTGCACACTCGTATGTCTGAAATTTTGCTTTTCTCCTTAGAGGACTACAAAAGTGAAATTCCCTGCTAGCACGTAGTCTGGCAATCTTAAATGAGCTCATTAGTAATTTTTTTCTATATAGATACTCCCAAGATAACAAAAAGGAGGGGGACAAAGAAGGAATTTATTGGCTGGAGAAACAGAAAAAGAAATGTCAGGCTATCCGAAAGTCAGTGAACAGCCGAGCAAAAGCCCTGGATCCACACAAAAGTCTGGAGGAAACACACAAGGAGAAGTTGAAACAGAACTGGTCAGTATCCTGTTCTGCACAGAAATAATCGTTTGGTCTACTAACTGGGGATCTGATGATTCTTTAGGAGGCATTGGGTCTAAGAACATTCCTAGCCTAGCTTTTTTGTCTGTCATACCCATTCCACATTCATTTGGATTTCTTGACAATTCCACACTACTCCTTCCATACAGAACAGCTTCCTTTAGATTAACATCTGTAGAAACTAATTGTACAAACAAGCCAACTGAAACCTGTCATTTGGTAAAGCATGCGTAAGACAAGGTTTTCTAAAAATGTGAACGCTGGCTCTCTGCTCACAGTCTGGTAGTGAAGCTTTGCTATTGGGTCTGGAACTTGCCAGCAACAGGATTTTTTTACCCAGCATTCAGAATAGAGAGAATTACCAGAGGTGTTTAAAGGATGAAACAGTTATTGAGAATTCGCTCCTGATCAGCTGTAGTCAGTGGGCACGATTTGACAGGCAACTTTTCCATTTCAGGCAAAATATGAGAGAGAACACAAAGGAATACAAAAAGGAGCTGGAAGAAATGCAGCTGCGAGTCAAGAACAGACCATACCTCTTTGAACAGGTCACCAAGGTAACTGGTCAAAGTTCCAGAGTGTTTCTGGACGACGGGATACATTGTCTTTCATATAAGGCAGGCATTAAGAAATCTAGTCTCAAGTTAATTCACAGATAAGAAGGTGAAAATGGTTGCATAGTCTCTTGACTATACTCAAAATAAGACATGGAAGGGCCACCCAAGTATAATTTAAATTCCATCTCAGCACTTGAAAAAAGACTCAGACTTATTTCTTGATTGTTGAGCTTTCCAGTCCCTAGTATATATATTGCAATCAAAATATATGGTTTGATCAAAATCAAGGCCTTGTCACACCAGAAATGATATGAATACCTATTCTGCACCTGAATACCATAGCCTACAGTCTAGGAATTTTAAACCTTTTTTCTTAAAAACCTCTCTAGTTGAGCATTTTTCTTTGTACCTCTAGGGCTAATAGAAAAACATTAATGACCGTTGTTCTGCTTGTATCACTTGCAAGCTCTGCTATCTGGGGTTGTGTTCAGCACATCTCATCTATCGCACAGTACCAGCTGCAAATCTGTGTTGCACTTCAGGTGCAGATACAATCTTTATTCTCTGTAAAGTACCTTTTCCCCTGGGTTTTCTCTTTCAGTTTTGTCTCTTTGCACAGCTGATACCTGGGTTAGAGACATAGTGAGAATACATTGACAATATGCTGATTTAAGGTTTCTCAATAGAAAGTATCCTCCTGGATCAGACTTTCTCTTCAGATGAGTGGTTAATGGAGGCAGAGAAGACATTTGTATGACAAATATTGGTAACATTTCTGTTTGCCAGGTTAGTGAGAATTCACCAGTATGAATAGCATTCACTCCTGTTGAGACAAGGTTTCTATCCTTCCATGTAGAACACCTTTGTCTTTAGGAACTGGCCAGTCCCTCTGGAAAACCATCATCTCAGACTACATTAATTTGCAAGGTTTATTTGGAGGCAGTGAGGATATAGGATCCAGGATGCCTGGTTTTCAGTTTCATTAAGATGAGCTGATGATATGAAGCTATTTCACAGGTACTCTCCATTTATTGAACTCCACTGTTGTTAGTGCTTACAAATTACAAGCAAACACACTTCCAGAATTTCTTCCAACCCTTTTTTGCATGTATTCTCAATGTGAGTGTCACAGTCAGGACTCAGACACAAGTGTGCTAGTCTGGTAAGACTGGAATGCAGGAGAAAGAAGAAGGAAGAGAAAAAGAACAGAAGCAGGAAAAGGTGAGCTCTGGCTTTGAGAGATGTGGGACATTGTCGTAGTATTCCAGTTTGGCACTGTATTGTATGGGTGACAAAAATTTTGGATGGGGGCTTTGCTGTCCTCTTGTTCTCATTAGGAGTGTTAGCCATGAACTTTAAAACAACTTGACTGCTCTGGGGAAGCCCCAGTTCTACATGCTTACCCTCTGAGTTTTGATTTCATAGCATGGTGCTCGTCAAGGAGCAGAGCGTCGCTACAGACACACCCTCCAGCAGGTTGGGCTAAGTGAAGAATTTGTAAGGAAAAAAGGGAAAGATGCCACTGACGTGCTGGAAGGAGAATCTGACATTCACAGGTAATAAAAACAATGCAATACAGCTCTTTGGCCTTTGACTAAAAATATTTTCCTTGTTCATGAAAGCCTTCCAGTTTGTATCATCTAGTGTAGGCAAAATAAAATCAACTTCACTCCTCTTATTAAGATCATGGCTTCTCTATTGTAACTCCTGTGGCTGCGCTCTATTTTCTTATGCATGCGGCAAAGCAGCAAGTAAGCACTGCAAACTGTGTCTGGTGTGAGACAATCACTGTTTCTGCAGAGCACCCAAGCCTCAGGGTGAAAAGGACAACCGTACTGTACAGGAAGGAGAACCTCAAGAGGAACAGAGCAGAAAGGAAATGGCACCCTAAGATCTAGCAAAACAATCCATCGATCATCTCTTCACTTTTTTAATTCAGGATTCTCCAGGTTAATCCTCGGGAACTTTATGGTTTAGGCTGACACCTAAGAATTGCTCTGGGGTGAGATGCAAGAACTTAGTAAAGGAAAAAAAGACCAACTGTTGTTTAGAGCATGTCTTGTCCAGCCCAGCAAACCATGCAGCCTCCTTTTGTCTTCACAAGTGTTCCTCGTGTGAGCCATTTCCCTTTCTTTACAGGAAACAAAGCAAGTTAGAAAGGTTGAGGCACTATCTTTGGATAAAACTAGATAGGAAAGATTGAAGTGGTGCATCCTGTAGTGTCAGCTCCTTCCATTCATGCCACAGAAGCCCACAGAGGGAGAGAATGCCTTTCAGTGTGCTAAACCTTGATTTACACATGTATGTGTAGGATGCTTTTAAACAAGTTATTTCTAAAAAAACAAATAGCATGATTTGACCTACCTTGGGAGAAGACTCAAGAGGGAAGTCCATCTCTGGTGTTAACACTTCATTCACTCATTACCAGCTCTGCTCCTTCCTCCCATTAGGAAGAAGCCATTGTCTTTTCCCATATTTCATTATTTGAAATGGTTTTAACATCTTACCAATTTAGGTCATTAATTTGGCCTGGAAAACAACCAAGTTATGAAGGAGGTTGTAATTAAAACAGTGCATCACTTTGGACTGCTGTTGTCGTAATTCTACTATTACTGTGATATCAAAGGTGGACTTTGGTGGGAGAAAGATTAGGTATTACCTGTTGGCACGTTGCACTCAAATGCCTGGCACATCTTGAATGGTGTAGTTCACACATTAGTGGTCTTCCTTTACCTGACAGTAATAATGAGCTCAAAAATACCAACTCTCACCACCTGGAATGTTTTCTGAGAATGGTGTTATCAAAGCACTTTGAGATTAAAAGATTTTAAATGGCTGTCATGTTTCTGCATTCTCCAATTCTTTGTCAAACATCTTTTCCTCACTTTTTAAATAGAAGCTGTGTCTCTCAATCTTCATTACCTCAATTCATTTCTCCTTACACTGTAATAATGAAACCTTATCATCAAATCAGAAATACACTACGTGTAAGTAACACAGGTAAGAGCTACCACATTAGATAAAGATATAAAACTGAGATAATGACATTTCCAAGTATGTGAAGTGTAAAGGAAAACCTTAAGAAAGGAGGAGCAAAGGCTCGACTTCAAATTAATATATGATATTATGCCATATCCCATTAACAAATACTAAAGTGTCATGCATGAGTACAGTAACAGATAAATCCAAGCCTTAATATTGGTCCCTAAACAGAAATTGCTGAAATGGTGATGAAAGTAAAAGCATCAAGCTAAGTAACTGAAACTCACTAGCACCTTTCTTGCTAAACAAAGTGTTGTTCTGAAAGTAGGATTACAGTTCTGTAATCCTAAAAGAGATTTGTAATCTCTTAATGTATCTCAAAAATGGTATGGAAATAAAGAATTTCAACTTTTGCTCTTTTATGAAATTCCCATTTTTGCATTTTATGAAAATATTTTGTTATTTTTAGTTAAAAGAATTACAGCCTGTTCAGCTAACTATAAAAATACTGTAGTAAAGGAGACATCTCACTGGAGCACCCCTAATCAACTGGTGACATGATAGTCAACCCACATCAGATCTTGACTCACAGGTACCTAGTGGAGCTTCTGCAAGAACCTCCGAATTACAATACCTTTACTGACAGCAGCATTACCTTCACATTCAGCTAGGGAGCAATATAAACTCAAAGCATTCTCTTTGTGTAGGAGCTATTATAGACACATAGCATCTGCATTGTTCATAATGACAATTTTGAAGAAAGTATTTAAATTAACAAAAATTAAAAATAGCTTGATATACCAAACATATTTTGAAGGAAAAAGTGACTGGGGAAAGCAGGAAAAGAACACAGCAAATATAATTAAATGATATCAAGTAGTACATTTATTTCAGATAGTAAGTCAGCTTCTGACAGTGAGATGTATTAGAATATAGTCTCTGAAGGTAAAGGATGGAAGGAAGGCCTGTTGCTCAAGATACTGAATGTTTGTACAGTGCCTAGCACAACGAGGTCCTGGTCCTTAACTGGGGCTCCTAGGTGCTCCAGCAAAACAAACACTTTAGGCTTTGGGAGAAGGGACTGCATAAACAGTTTTGAAATGGTGTTCCACGACATGGGCTAATGACACCTAAGCAGCAGACTTCACCTTTTAAGCTCTGCAAGAGAGAAACTTGGTCCGGTAGGTCTTCTCCAACTCCAGTTTTATGATTCATTCTCCATCTACCCACCTACTCTGTGCACAGTTAAAGCAATGTTCACTCATTCCACTGCAAAATGGTGAGCCTCTAGGAGGAATGACCAATCCCACTTCAGTCACCACATATAAGAGGGCGGAAAAAAGAGCAGCTGGTCTCACCCTCCTCTACTCCAATAATAGACTCGGTGTCTGGCAGGTGCAGAGACTCAACACCAAGGCTCGGCTGAGAGTTCATGGAGATGAGATTCTTACTATGCACTGTAGACTCTTCCAGCAAACTGCTGCCCATCAGTGACTCTATTGTGAAAAAAGTGCAAAACAAAATTCCCATGATGTAATGATACAGAAACATAAGATACAATCCCTGCACGCACCGCCCCCTCCCTTCAAGTCACATAGAGTTCTTCCCTAGACACCTACTTTGTCTGTTCCTACTCTTTGGGCATCTGGCACTCCAATGGATGGTAACTCCTATATTTATTGTTTTGAGCCTCAGTATGGCAGGATCTCGTGCAGGCTTGGCTTTCTCTTTAAATAATTCACATAGCATAAAAAACCAGGCTACTTACAACAGGAATACATAACAAAGGGTACAAATTCCATGTAAAAAAGGAGATACTAGACTCATGTTGATTTTGAAAACAATAAACCTACCTGCCCCGTGACCACATTACAGAAATACACCTTTGTCTTCTACCCTAGAGAAGGGGAGGGTGAGCAATCCATCCTTACCTCCAAGAGGAAGAGCCTTTACTGGCTTGTGGTCTCGCATTTTCAGGACAAACATCTTCCCTTCTCTTTGGCCATACACTAATTCTCTCCTGTACTTCTCCCCCACAGCGAGTGCCCTCCCTTCCTTACCTGGCTGTTCTCGCTCTCTGCTGCCAGCTGTTCCAATTCGGGAGTGATGTTTCCTCATATGCACATTTCTGCTACCACTCTGGGAAAATGTCTTCCCACAAATTTGGCACTGATGGGGCTTCACTCCTTGGAGTAGAAGGGGGGAAAATATCCCAAGAATTACCAAATTGGGAATAAAGACCTCATCAACCAAGAAGCCAATAATACTATTTTGAACTGGCTGTTGACACCACTGGTGCTAATTATCAGTGAAAAAAACAAATGAGAAATATTCCCATTTCCTGGAGAGCAATAAGCTTTTAGAACAGAAGAGTTTTAGATATCAGTATTGCCAGCTGTTGGAAAACTTAAGTCTGAAGAGTAACATAAAGTCTTCAAGTCTGATTTATGACAGGAAACAAGTTATTTGGCATCTCTTACTCAGCGACATGAGAGTATCTGATGGCCCACACCTAGAATAAAATGACCAAAAGCAAGGAAGCAGAGACAAGAAAGCTACCTCCTGCCATCACACAACAAATTGCAGCATCGAGTTTACATTACTGAGCAGAGACTGGTGATGACTTGTCATTGTGAAAGGATTTCCATTTTACAGACCAGTCAATCATGTCCATACATGTGAGCTAAATAGCATGGAAGCCAAGGAGACAGGAAAGAAAGTGTGGAGAACTTGGGTAGTCCCAAAAGTTAGTACCCCAACAAAATCTCCCCTTCCCCAAACATGCCATATTCATCATGTGCTGATGATGTTTAAGATAGGTCACTCAAAACAGAAGGCAGAAGCTTTGAAACACTTGTGAAATACATTTCCATCTAATGTGTTGTCCATTTACAAGTATATAGTATTAAAAAATAAAGGCAGAACCCTACCTATGGCAGAAACACACTCGTAGGAGATTTCAGATTTGAATGGCTTTAATTAATATACAGAGGTGCTAGATTCTCTCTTTTAAATAAGAAAATGGCAGCTATGAAACAGATATCCAACTCAAGATGTTTTAGAAACAATTCTTAAAATGTAATTCGAATTTAGAAACAGAAACAACAGAAAAGATTAAGGTGTACAGGCTACAGGCACCACATAAAGGAAGCCATGAAACACTATGACCAGAAGTCCCGTAAAAAAACAGGGGATTTTTCTTAAGGAAATGAAATCAAAGTCTTGCAATAAAGATCTTTTCTCAGATAGGTCACAGAATGTCAGATGAAGACTCTTACCTGAGTGGACAACCAAATGTTTCCGAAGGCTGGAGTATTCAGCAAAAGAGCGACCACATCCCTGTGCCTCACACAGAAAGGGTTTTTCCCCTACGAGGGAAAAGTAAGTTTTTAGATTTGGGGATTACAACTTGATCTGATTGTCCAAGTCCCTGAGAACAGCCTGGAGATCTCTGCCTCATTCTCCCTTTTGGCCTTACATGCAACACAGTTCAACGGAAATTACACATACGCCTCCTAAGGCTTTTAAAACATTCTCTTAATCAGCTTTCAAGAGGAAACACTGACATTCTTACTGAAATATTCTTAGATGATCATTCACTGAAAGGGTCCACTGTTTCTAAATAGATCTTCCAATACCAAAAGAGTAATATAAAAGTACCTGGACTATGATATATCTTCTGTATGCAGTTCTTAATAACCAGCTCTCTGCTTCATGCGCTCCCACAATCCTGTTCCCTTTCTGCCTCTCAGTGCCAAAAATCCCATTAACTGTATTTCCCTTCGTATCAGATTCTATACTTTATTTCAGATCAGGCTGAACTTGCCAAAATCCCATGAGAGATGTGTCAGTCATTTATATTTATGTGTGGAGGAACAGTAATTCAAGGCACGATTTGTTCTCATAGGCTGAAATTTGTTATTTTTATATATCTCGACAGTTATTTTTGTATTTGTCTAAATGATGATAAACTGGGAGGTGACTACACTAATGCAATGCAATATAATTAACCTGTTTAAACACCCTCTTAATAAAGCCTTAAAATAAAACTAGGGGCAACTTTTGCCTCTGCAACCTCCCACTAAAATACTCAATATACCATGTTTAACACTATGATTGCAAGTCTTTAACTAGACTACTGTATCAGAGTAACAACAAGTCCACAGAAGATTAAGCAAGCTATTTTAGCTGTATTATTGTCTAACATATACATAGTTCTTTCAGAGTAAACTTGTTTTTAAAGTTGTTTGTACTGTGATTTTGCCTTTAGAAATCCTCTCCCTACAGTTAATTTCTCAGCTTCTTACTTACTAGAGCATTCAACAGATCTGAGCAAAAAGGATCAACATAGCATGTTCTGATTGATGTTACGAAACGTAGAAGATTCTCAAACACTGATTGTACCTTCTGGCTTGTTATATATATTTAAAACTTGGAAATAAGGAAGAAAAGCTACCATTGGCAAAAACAACAGCACACAATTCCATCTGTAAGAATCCCTAGATCTATTTACACCTGCAGTTTTATAACACCTTTGGTCTGACCAAACTCTTAATTGCATATTAGCAATTTGCAGTTAAGAACGTTATTATTTACTCCCCCCAGAAGCTACTACTCTGTTGGTTGCAGAACACTCACTCTTATCATGGAGGATTATGCATGTGTCAGCTGAGCCTATCAACTCTATCTGCACCTTGGCTGGGAGCTTTAAGTGTGAAAGAAAATTGCAAAAACTATGGCTGCTATTACTACACATTCAAAATTCTATTATTGGTATACATAATCTTTAACTACATCCCAACATCTGCCCCCAAACCATGTGTTCTAGCTAGACTGCAAACTCTTTAAAATAGCAACCTTTTTCCCTGCGTATCTACAAACTACATACCATACGGCAGTGCTTAAGCAAGGCAGAAGGCATAAACAGCTGCTGGCAGCCCACATAATCTGCGATTTCATTTTACTAGAGAAGCCTCCTGCTCTCATAGTTGTCAAGGTTATTTTGAACCGTTAACCAACTGTAAGGCAATGCTACCTTCCTAGGCCATCAGGGAATGCCTAACAATATTCTGAAAGACTTGAACTGGGCCATTTGTTAAGTGGTGTGATAACCCTGAGGCTTAAAAAACAAACAAACCCACCAGAATATTCATTATGAACTTTGCTAACTATTACATTGCTGATCATTTCAGCGGTAGCTTGTGTGCCTCTCTCAAACAACTTTCTAGGATAAAAACATCTAAAGCACTTTATGCAGTTATCAAGACTGGTACACCAACTTCCAAAAATACTGACAAGGCAGGATCAAACGCTCCAAAGCAGACAGCATAAACGAACCATGTATAAATACAGCACTATGAACTAAAGGTTCTTGTTTTATTTACTACAAAAAGCTGAGCATGAGTTAAGAGTACATAGGCTTCAGCATATGGTAACATCCCAAATTAGCATTAGCACAAACAGAGCAGTTATTGCCTTTTTCTATTAGGCTTTGCTACCTTGTTTTTGCTACTCATTCCACTGTATTCCTCATTTCCCTAAATTTCTCAAATGTAGTCACTGTACAAGCAGCGTAGGTAACATAAGCTAGTCAGATTCAGCAGGTGTCAGTACCGCTACGACTGCATCCAGCAGGACTCCACAATGGAGAAATATCTAAGCTATTGTGCCTTTCAGGCTTCTTTATAAAAACCAATTACAGGACAAGCAGTCGTGTTCACTAACTATTCCCTTGGGAACAGCCTTGTTTCTCCCCAAAACAACACACACCTCTCCCTCCATCAAACAACTTGAGAGGGGAAGGGAATCTTCAGAGCACGAGTCTGAGCAGAGCACAGCATCATCATATAGTATTTGAAGGGTGACACCCATGTGAAATCATACAGGATAGTAAAGGGGGTAAACAGTTGATTAATTCGACCTATAGATCAATGTGAATAGACAGAAAAGGGACATTAATGAAGGGCAGAGATAAACAACATAATATTCTCAAAAGTTTGAGGACAGAGAACAAAGTGGTTTACTCCTCACTAAAGTCCCTGCAGACCGCAAATAGGTGAGGTCTAAAACACACCAGTGTGAATTCGTAGGTGGTTCTTCAGGTTTCCAGCTGTCGTGAACTGTTTCCCACAGCCCAGCTCTGTGCACACAAAGGGTTTTTCACCATTGTGAGTTCTCATGTGCACCTTCAGCCTCTGCAAGACGTAGAAACTTTTTCCACAGCCTTCTGCTGGGCAGGTGAAGGAGCGGTCATTACTGGAAGGCAACAGAACAGCTGCTTCATTACCAGGTACTGCAATATATTTTTCACGAACACTTGACTTCTTTTTATGACTAAACAAAAAGCAGAAACATTTAAACCAAAATTAATTTTATCAGAAAATGGAGAGACTCAACCAAAGTGAGTGACCTAAATTGGCCCTAAGGAACTAGAGTCGGGGTGGTCCACTGGAAGAATTTGTTCGGATAATATCTTTGCATCATCTTACCTTGCCTATTCCCTACCCAGAATGATTCCGTAAAGCAGGGCAACAGATTATATAGGAGGGCTGTGGAATTTCAGTCACTGGAGGATCAAAAATGACTGTATGTGTAAATATAACATGCAATTACTTCTGGCCCTGTCTCAGGGCAAGATGATGGGCTCATGTCTACTGGAGTCCTTCCCAGTTTCTAAGCTTCCCATCTACAATTTACCTTAGACACTGCCAATTTCTTAGCTGAAAAAGATCAGGGTCATTTGTTAGAGTAAGCAACTTTTTTCAAGGATATATAACAACATGACAGCATCCTACAAGTTCTAGTGTTCGCAATACCACAGAAGTGATAGTGATGCTCTTTATTGAGCACTTATTAAAATACAAATATTTTGAACCAAACAGTAACAAGGACCTGCAAAAATAATCTAAATCTGGTCAAAATGTTTCAACATAAGTGACCTAAAGCAAGCAACAGGCCTAGTATTTCTAAGAGTAATATCAGGTTTTCACAGCTTCTGGATGTCAAAAACTAACACTATCCCTAAAACAGAGCACAGTTTTTCAAAGTCGTGACAACACAGAGCTTTATTCTGCTCACCGGTGTGTTTTCAGATGATACTTGAAGTGAGCTGGCCACACAAATGTCCGATCGCAGCCCTCAACTGTGCACTTCAGCTTCCTTTCCACGCGAGATAAATGAGGAATGGGGCTAGAGTCTTTCGGCTGCCCATCTCCTGAGCAAAGATGAACATTTTCACCTGGAATAAAAAGCCCACCAAGATCTAAAAGAGATACAGGTTACTATAATGTGTCAAAATTTAATAGATAAAACCAGCATCATATATCATATAGGACTGTAAAGCAGGTATGTGCCTGGCTACTAATTGTTTACCATGTCCTACATGCTGCTGCCTAGCCTGTAACAGGGATAAGACACAGATTTGCAAACCTTACCAGGCCCATAAACTATTTCCAACAAGCTATCTCTATCAGATCAGCTGCTACCAGATGAGGCTTATCACAAGAAGAACAGAAAGCCAATGGATCAAAAATTGTAAAAATGGCCTCTCATATCAATATCAACCAACCAATTTTTAAGTATCAGCCAGGATAACTTTTAAAAAACACCTTAGCTAAAAAAAGAGATTGCATTTGTTCACAATTATTTATTAAAATAATTAAGTCACAAAGCATGTGACTAAATCCAACTACGTATTCTCCAGAAAGCTGATCTCCAAACCCAGTGGAGCTAAGAAGAAAGTATGAATTACAGTATGCATTAAAAATAGACACTTGAAAGTGAAAATGAAAGTTGAAATACAAGCAGCTGCAGTCAGAAAGAAGATACTCTCTACATGTACCAGAGAACAGGTGGACTACAACAGAAATACTGGCTCCACTGAAGTTCATTCCCTGAGAAAAACTGCGGACCCTATTTATACTGCAGAAAAAATTGTTCTGTATAATTCTGTCACTGATGATTTGAAGATGTTAGAGCAGATTAAAAGCAAGTGAGAATGAAAGAGAGGAAGAAACAAGCTGAAACTAAGGGCCTTGTATGGAATATTCAACTTTTGAGACAGAATCAGGGTATTTCCTACCATTATTGCTTGCTTTGGCGTTCTTAGCGAGCTGTGCCCGAGTGGCAGCAATTAAACTGTCATGGGCCAATTCTTGCACTCGCAGGAACCATGGGGTACTGCTGTCTGTGCTATCATGAGAGAGGAAGTCATTCCCAGAATCTTCTGCTTCATCTTGAACAAACACCAAGTGCTCTGCTGGAGACCCCAGCCCTAGAAAAGACAACAACTTCATGAAACAGAAGGATAATGTAACAGACAGAAACTTCTTTTGCTTCCCAAAGGCTAGTGTTCATGTCATGTAATAGCTGCACTGAAAAGGTCTTCACTGACCTCTACATTGTAGAAAGCTGTTGATGATTAAATGCTCCTGAAATATCCAATAACCCCCAGCAATTTTTTCTTTCCCCTTCATAAGCAGCAGAGTTGTACTTGTATCTCCTGCATTCTGCTGTCTGAGACATATCCAGCCAGCTAACAAACAGAAGGAGAATTACCTGCTCTTGTTAGGTTGAGAAGAATAAATGAAGTGCTGTCACTGGGCTGGAGGTCTTGCAATAAACTGGAAGTCTCTGGAGTTGACAGAAGTTCAGATGGTTTCTGTACATTCTGTGCCCTTGTTTCCTCTCCATCAGGGCCCACATTTACCTGGAGACTTCTCAAGACAGCAGATGAAGAAACATCTTTGGAAGCATTAGTGTGACTTGGAGAAGTGAGATCTCTTTCATCATCTAATGAAGAAAGTGAAAACAGAGTAAATAAACGTATAAATACACTATGAGTAAAAGATACCTATGAAGTTATTTTTCTAGAAAAAAAGTAGAACTTGAGAGAGACTGAAGGAGGAAGGAATTTTCTAACTAGTCAGACTTCACTGTAAGATGAGAAAAGTTTCAGTCACCCTTCTGAACCTGTTCCTCCATTCCTGGAATGCCTTATCAGCAAGAGGCAGTGGGCCACAGTGGTGCAGCAGAAACAGCTGTATGAAGGGCACGCTCGCAAAGATCTGCCGCAGAGATTTTACCTTACCTGGCAACATGAGCCTGTTGCATTCTGAGGTCTCAGTAACAGGAAGGAGAGAAAGACAGGTGATATCTTTTGGTTCCGATTCCACTAGCCCTTGCCCCAGTGGAATAGAAGTATTCTGAACAAACTGAACCAGCAGCTGAAAGAAGATATTGAAGATTTGGTCAAGAGCAGCACAAATCATCTAAAAAGGTACTAAACCCAGTCCATTATCCCCTACTGTCTTGTAGGAGACACTGAATATAATCCCATGAATACAATCAAAGTAAATGGAAGGTTTTCAATTTACATTAATGACAAAGAAGGAATTGTTTGTATTTGTCATCTCTGAAGTACCTATAAAATTCTCATTTCTTTAACATACAATAAACAGCTCTGGATCATTGCAGACTACTCTGAAGGCTATCTAGGCTATATTCCTTTTTAATTAATCTTTAGCAAGATAAATTTTACCAGTATATGCCATGTTTTAAGGCATATCTTTCTTTTTAATTAATCTTTTACCACTTGATACTTTACTATGTTCTAACCTTCCAATTAAATGTCTTCCATGCTCAGTCTTTGGTTCAGGTATTTTTTTAAATGATTGTCTTTAACTACTTCACTGGAGGACAGCTGGCCTTTTTTAACTAAAAAAGCAAGCAAAAGACTGGTTGCAAAGATGTGTAGCTAATGGCTATTCAAAATAGGCAGATAATGATCAGAAGAACAAGGTTGGGATGACAAGGGGTAGAACACAGCCAGTCTTATCCATCCAAACCAGCTACTCCTAAGACCATCGAAGATGAACAATTAAAGCCATTTCCATCGTGTGAAACCCACCCACTAAGGGGATTCAACAGAAGAAACCCTCTCCAGAATACTATGTAAAATAAGGGGGACTATTGCATAAGGAGATATAGGACTTCTACTGGGATGTGTTCCCTGGGGAGGACTTTGGGACTGAATAAGAGATTTGGGGGATTGTACAGGACTTACTATGCCTTGTTTAAGGGGAAAGACAAAGGCAGGAAAAAAAGAAGGGATCAAGGTGGATCAGGGCAGAGCAAACACAGGAAAATGGAGAGGGGAGGATAAAAGAGGCCCATTACATATAAGCAGGAAGTTCATCCATTCAGTTGTCTGGTGTAGCCTAACCATTGCGGCCCATCCCATTTTCTTATTAAACTCCATTCCTAACTATTTCCTGTGTGATCCCGCTCTCTAGAGTGTCTGTGTCTTATGCTAGTGAGCTCCAAGCCAGACTAGTTGGCAAGCAGAACGAGAAGTGTGGGAACATATCCTGGAGAAACCATGAAGGCTTTCTCTAGGCACCAACCCTTGGAAACAGACTCAGGCATTTTGTGCTGCCTGTGTTTATGTGGGTAAAGCTACGAGTGCCCTGCCTGTGTTAATCCGTTTGGTGCCAGTCACATCTGCACAGCGCGCGTGTGTATGCACCTATTTGAAAATGGTGCCAAACCTCACTAGTGGCTGGATCTAAGACCAGAAGTAGGTAGCAGCCCTCATCTTGACAGGCCCAGGAGGTGAGAGATGCCTGTGTCGTTCACTACAGCAGATTTAGCTACCCTTAACATCAGTCAGCTCTGGCAACGCAAAAATTACTTCTGGCTAGCCCCTAAAAATCTTGAGTTATAAAAAAGGAACCTGACATTTGAAAAGGAACTGGAAGTCAGAGAAATGCTTTTCCTCACCCCTCAAAGTCTTCCCATATTTAACCAAGTTCAGAGCAGCAAAGCATGCGCATTGGTTACTCATTCTGTCCCCTTGACAACACCTCAAGCTTTTGTCAGACTACCAGATATAACTCGACTCTTCTTTACCTCCAAGGTACAGACACAGAAATAAGACTCTCTTTTTTCCGTTACCAGTGCCACAGCAGTTCATACTAAAATATTCTGATTCAACAAAGGAATTGCTGCTGGGATTTAGGAGATAACGCTGCCCAACTTTTGCAATGGACTGATCTAATTCTTCTGTGAACTCCACAAGCTTTATTAAGAAATATGGTCTCAAATCCCTCCCCTGTACTGAATTAAACTTCTGGAGACCAGAAAGACTGAAAGAGGTCAGTTGTAAGAGACCCAGACACATACTCCACATTTCAGAGAAAATGCCCTTCAAAAACCATATACAAGATCTATTTATTTGGCTATAAGTTCTGTTAAACAGACTTACTCCTATACTCACATTCTCAAAATATTTTGAAAAAGCACAGATGAAAGAAATACGGAAAATAACAGTAGACCAAAAACTTTAACCTTCAAGTCACTATTCCTTATCTCTAGGAAACTCCTTGACATAAAGATTCCACATTCTGCTGCTGTCTAGCAAACAACTGTATGCAACAGACTTCCTTTATCTTTGGCATTTAGAAGGAAACCGTACAAGACACATTTTAGCACGCATTCACACAGAGCCCAGACAAAGTTGTCTGTGCAGTGAGGTGGTTCAGAAGTGTCGAAAGAAACAGTAAAAATGCATGATATACCTATGGTATATTTGTGATTAAAACCCAACAGTCACTAATAATTTGATTCTTATTTTGTATGTTGTGATTGTCGTAGTATTCAATTTTCAGAACTACTGACACCCAATTCCAAATTATTTCTATAGCAGATACCAGCCTTTGGAGCCTCTCCCACATCAGGACATAGTTCATTAAACCAAAGAAACTGAAAAGAAAATTTAATAGTTTGGGCTCTGATTTCTCTATGCTTATTTCCTCTCATGAAAACACTAGAAATGCTGATGCTTCCTCAAACAGTTTTACCTGCAAGAGTTACTGCTGTCAGAGCCCTGAAGCCTTCATTGCCCTGAGTGGTCTCACCTGGGGCCCCCACCCTCTGCCCAGGGGCTCCATTTAAGCTCAGCCTGTACTCCCTAGTCCTTTCCTGAGTCCTGTTGTAGGTTTGCCAGTCTCAAGCCCTGTCTCCTGGATGGACCTCAGACTTTTACTACATCAGGGCCTCCAGCCCCATCTCCTGCTACTGACTGGACTCTCTGGGTAGACCCTAGACCTGGTTCATCACTTTGCCTTGTCTGGGGCTGTGGATGGACCCTGTCACCAGCACCCACCTCTGCCCACCGTGCTCAGGTGCTGCAGGACTGTGCCCTGGTCAGTGAGGGCAATGTCTGGGCTGGGATCACCCTTGGCTGCCAGCTCACCCTCCTTTTAGTGTCCTCGCTGACAATTATGAAGGAAAAATTAAGTCTTGAAGTCATTCAGGTGGCAATATGCCATTTGAACTAGGCCACAAGCCAGACTGCAGTTTGAAAGGTTAGCATTTTTTCTTCTTCAGTATATTATAAGATTATCCAGAGGCCCCAGTCAGAAGAGGGAACTATTTTTATGTTGTCAAAAAATTACATAGGCAATAAGAGACAGTCCTTCCCCCAAGGCCATGCATTCTAATTTAAGATTAAAAAAGAAACAGAGAATGAGGGGTAAAAAGAGAAGAGTTAGGAATAACAGAGCAAGGCAATGAGAAGGAAGAAGTTGGGAGCAAAAAATGTGAGCAGCAAGATGGTTCTAATTACTGGATTGTCTTTCATTTAAAAGCTGTTCATGATCCCTACTGCTGCCTACTCCACCATGAAACACTTGTTTTAGGGACTCTTCTATTTTTATACAGAAAGCCTTAGATAAAACTTTCCTCCTACAATAGGAAGGCTTTGCTTCAAAACCCTCCACTTCCACACAGCAACATTAAGCCACTAGGGACAAGCAAGATGCAGCAGCCACAAACAGATGCTCAGAAGAGAAGAGATCCTTTTAATTTTCTTTGTAAAGAAATAACAAGCTAGTACGGAGAATTAAAAGGGGGCAGAAAAAAACAAAAGGACATGAATCATGCTCATTATTAAAATTTGGAACAAAAAAACCCCAACGCTTCCCATAAACTAAAGCAAACCAATCACCAACTCTACATCAAATAAATCAGAGAAAATAAAAATTTTAATTTGACAGTTGTATTTTGACAGCTAAATACTTTCATAAACCTACCTTCCTGTTCAAAACCATTAAATACCTTTGGGACAACTACAGCAACTGGAATATGGGAAAAAACTCGTTACAAACACTGTGTCATGCTTTCTTAAGTTTCTTTTAATTTGGTTTTGCAGCTGAAAACAAACAGGAAATTGTAAGGGTATCTGGTAATCGGCTATTCAGCATAAAAAACAAACGAGGAACAGGAGACGTGATAAATTAAATGTGCAGACAGACAAACTCTAACAAACTGCAGATAAGAAAGAGAAACAAAGACCAGAACTCCTGGGACACTGATGGATGGGCCATTACAGGAACAACTTGAGCGTGACCTTGAAGAAATTCACGCAGAAACTTTGTAAGAAATAGGAGCAATATTATTATGGGTTACCAGAACACATCTCATAGACAAGAGCAAATTTCTTATGGGGGAAATTCTGGAACCAGGTAAAACTTATTAAAGATGTCTTAAGTAGAGGCTGTGGGAATGTGAAAACTTACGGATGGATGTTCAGGGGAAGGATCAAAGGCAGGGAAAGGGAGGGATCAAGGTGGATAGGAGAGGAACAACCATGGAGAACAGGAAAGGGGTGGGAGATAATATGGGTTGACCACGTTAGTGGGCTGCAGGTCCGTACACCACTCTGCCTCATCACTGTAGTCTATCCCATCTTCTCCTCAAATGATATTTGCTCCTAAATAGTTTCCGAGTATGTTCACCCAGTTAACTTCATGTTCGACTAGCCTGTGAATAGGAGGAAACCACAATCTGGAACGCCAAGATCCTGGCCAGTGGCTGCATTAAAAAGCCCAGGGCCTGGAGATGGATACTAGAAGGACTCAGGGTTTGGCAGAGACTGGACAGATGTGTGACTGTGAGTACGCCTGTCAGCTGAGTGAGGGTACGTGTGTGATATGCTAGCAAATTTCAGGCCTGGTTACCTGAGGAGTAGGAACAGGATTAGGCAATTTATGGCCTTCCTGTTCCATGTGAATGCCATTTGTGTTTGTGGGTGCCTCTAAAAGTACTGCCCTGCCATGTGTTAGTGTTTACAGCCATACATGTCTGTACTGGCTATGTGTGCACAGGCACATATTTGCAGTTCAGGCTCAGCCTCACTTCAGTGTGCACCTGGGAACAGCCCAGTAGTCTCTTGTGTGAAGGACCAAGAGATGATTTTAGTCCTGCTGAAACACCACGTACCTCTGAAAATCCCCTAAGTAATATAGATAGTGTATGTATTAAAAAATGTAAAATATTTCTTGACTCTTGTCACTAAAAAAATAATTGTCATCTCTGCTGGTCAACAACAGATGGCTGAACAGGATGATCCCAGGGTCTATCACCGCAAGCAGCGCAGAATGCTTGTGTTACAAAGAAGCTTGGATAATGTCCTTGACCCAAGGCGGGGGGGGGAGGCGCAGCAGGCAAACAAAAAAACCCCCCAAAAAAACCCCAAAAAATCTGTTTGAAGAACTGCGAACCCGTCCTAGAGAACCTTAAAAAAAAAAAAAAAAAAGCACTACAGAAACAAATGAAAATATGGCCATCTGGGATGGATTGGACTGAAGTTTGTGACCCATAACAGACCCCCTTCATCAGATAACTCAAAAGCCAAGAAGTGCCAAGGCAGCTGCTTTGTTTGAGGTGGGGGTGGCTGGGAGGGACGAGGAAGATTCTCCAGTTCTAACTTTCAGATCTATCCTCCAACTGGATCCCTGGAGAGCTAGAGGAGACTCCCAGAGCAGCAGGAACCATGGTTTTAATCCATACTGTTTCTGTTCTAAATTTAACCAGTGAACTACTACAAAATAAAGAGGTCAAAAGAACATTTAGGGGAGGGGGAGGAGTGGAGGGGAAAGGAGCAGCTGGAGCTGAAGGGTGTGGAGGGCAGGAGGGTCTTAGCTAGAAACTAGGATGCTCTCCTCCCATAAAAACTCTGGGGAATTAATTCATTCACGAGAGCATCTCCTCGTGAGGAGCTCATGAGAAGAGAAAGAAGAGGCTAAAATACCTCCCTCCACCCACTTTTCAACAGCCAGTTCAATTCATAGACCAGAGCTGCAGTTCGCTTGATTGTGCTAGAGTTACCCCAAGCAGCAGAAAGCACCCTGCAATGGACCAGTGCAGTGGAAGTGGCTGGAAATATTTGCAGCTATAACAAAGCACCCTGAAGGCTTAAAGTATGCAAAATGCAGATCTAATGAGTTCCCTGAGGAATGCTGGTAATACAGCTTTGGGGGCAGGGAGTCCAGAAGAAAAAGCAGATCCATCTGTCCGTACAAACTGTCTCCAGGCAACTTTGTAACTTCCTATGAAAGGAGGATTCACCTCTACTCAAGTATTAAACATTTACCAGCACGTTTGTGGCTTCTTTAGGGATAAAACCAGTAGCAAAGAAGCTTATGCAATCCATCCATAGTGAATCTGAATAGACAAGATTATCTAGATGTTACACAAATACAGTTAGCTCTTAATTAATACCTGTGTGACATGGTAGGGGATCTGAAAGAACACTTGTGGCTGTAAGAATTACGGTGCCATAGCTCACCAGAGGATATAAAATCATGACTGGCTTTCAGAGACACTCAAACTGCTATTTGTGAAAGGTGTACAGAGGTTATCTACCAGCTTCACATCAAAGGAGTGAAAAATAGTACTAACTTAACATTCAGCTTTTACAATCAGAACCAGAAAGAGGGTGTGAATAGATTGGGTAACCCACAATGCAAATGAATCCAAATTTGTACTCTAAAATAGCCTTGATCAAGATTAAGGAACCTGGTTTAGAAGGCAGCACCTATGGAAAGGACACCCTCTGCAACCACCATAGCTGCCATGTATCAGGCCTGTTCCCACTGGAGAATGGCCTACTCTGTTCTGGGCTTGCTGGGAAGGAAATGCCACTCTGCTATGGGGAAACAGGACTATTATGTAAACATGCCCAATTAACAAATACCTTACTCAAGAAAAGACCCACTTAAGCTCCTATTTGAGGAACAAGGGAACAAGCATTCCAACTGTCCTGGTCCTTGGCTGTCAGAAATAATATATGAGAAGCCACCCACACACAGACTGAAGTAACCAACTCCCCCACCTCATCATTCAGAACTGGGAGAAAATTGGGTAGAAATAATGAGATAGCAACCACAAGGCAAGAGAAAAGAAATCCTTGCAGCCGTGCTGAGACTACTCTGGGCTACCACAAATTTGCAGTTACTTTTCCTAAATAGTGTGATTGGAAGGGCTTTGGCTGCTCCCCTAAGGAACAAATACCCTACCACATGACCTGGGCTGGGACAAATTACCAGCATGCAATCACTATTCTCTTTAGAGTACTAGTTTAAGACACCTGCTGTGTTGCATATGGACTGAGAGGGATAGAAACAGAAGGCTCAATAAAAACAATTCCATTTAAACTTGCGAACTTCTCCAAAAGGTACTTCACAGCAGTACTAAGTCCTCTACTCTAGGGCCTCAGCCTTCTGAAGAGGTAAAGCTGGGAACCAGAAAAGCAAGGACACAAAGCTCCTCTGCATTTTTAAGTGGACAGATAGCTGGCTAATGGCTCTTCAGGCTGAAAGACAAAGGCAAGAAACAGGAGAGGTAATAAATTGAACACACTGATACGATTGCGTATAATGTAACAAACTGCAGACCGCTGTATCTAGCAACCTATAGGCAAGAGTAACAACGAGCAGACCTCCTCAGACTCCGATCAATGGGCCACTGCTGAAGTGAAATCTTGAAAAGCTGCAACCAGATCTTTTCTAACTGGTAAGAAAACAAAACTGTCTTGCGTTATCTGAATGGGTCTCACAGGAAAGACCAAACTTACAATCCTACGTAACAGGGATTTCAGGCTGTGCAAAACTTACTATTAGTTAAAATTTATTAGTTAAAACTTATTAGTTTAGGGTGAGAATCAAAGTCCAGTTATATGTTTGCTGGCTGCTGGTCAGTACAGTGCTGTGTCTGATCACTGCAGTCCCTTCTATATACTTACTAAACATATTCCTAAATATTCTACCCTACTCACAAGTGAGTGCACTGCTAGTGAACTTCTAGTTGGCTAACGTGTGAGGAGGAGGCAACCATACTCTGGAAAAAAACCCACAAAATTCCAGCCAGAAACTGGCTAAAAAGCTCTAGATCAATGCGCAGATACCAGAAAGACTTTAGGCCCGGCAGAGACATCTGTGAACGTGACTATGCATGAGGGCTGAGTGATGAGGGCAGATACATTCCACTAACCAATTTAACAGTTGTTTGTGCTGTTTGTGTTTACCTCTTAAAGGTACTTGACCTGCGCACCTGTTAACCTGTCTGCGGCCAGCTGTGCACGCTCTTGTGCGTGCACACGTACATCACTGCCGTTCCCGCTCAGCCGCGCTACTGGTTGAACCTGGGAACGGTCCAGCAGCCTCACACCGAGCAACCAGGATCCCCTGGGCGCTGCTGCCTACCACTTCTGCCAACCGCTTAATGGAAACACGAGTGCTTCAAAAAACAGAACTGGCTGATGCCAGTAGAATAACCCAGACTCCCAAAAACCAATAAAGTCATTTTGATTTGAGGGAAAGAAATAGTCAATACAGGAATTTATTTTATTCTTGTAACAGAAAGAACATTATAATAGTGCAAAAAATAATGTAACCTGAGAACAGGCAAGAGTATTGGCTGACACTTGAAAGGAGGGGGGAAAAAATCTGCAATATTATTTAATCTTTTACCGTTCAAATCAAAACATGGAAGTATTAGAAGATGCCACTGATAACACTCTGATAATTAATATTTAAGCAGCAAACTGAGTAAACTCATTGAACTTTTTCTAAGTGTTGCCCATAAATGTTCCTGGGAACCAAACCCAGTTCATAATTGCTCACCTCAGGCTTGGATTCTAACTCATCCGATAACATTGATTCAAGTGTCCGATTCCTGCAGCTGTCCTCAGCAAGGCACAGATTTATTTTTTTTTTAGTTCAGAGAGAACACTCCCTGCTTATTCTCATATTTTCCTAAGTGTAAACCAGTGTGGTGGTCCTTCTGCAAGAAGCTGTGTTGCACAAATGCTCAATTTAACCTAAAACAACAAAAAAGGAAACATAAAGAGACAGGAACCAAAAAAATGAGAGCAAAGCTAAAAGAAGTGAGCAGATGTTGCATGTAACTGTAAAACATACTTTGAAGTACTGGGAAAACTCATTCACCCAGGTTCTTGCGTTTCTGTTGTCACTGAGTCAGCAAAATAACATCCTAACACTGCAAAATTAATTTTCAAAGGCTATTTACCACGTTTTCTTTGCAATAGCTCATTTTCAATGGAAAATAGAGTTGTTTGTCCTGGAAACTGAAAGTCACATAAAGCATGCAAGAGACAAGGAGGCTGAATTCCCAGTCTGCAAAACAGTGGAATGATCCAAAGTGTCGATGAACGGCAACCATATACAACCAACCTGTCACCAGCACACCTTTGGCTTTCCTGTCAGTTGTTACATTTCTGATTATGTGAAATATCTCGATGAACACAGGCTGGTTAGAACTTATTTCACAAACACCCATAGAATGTTTCTTCTTTGGGTTATAAGGGAAAATGAGAACAAGTTTGTATCTATTTTTGCCTACCGGGAAAGCACTCGGACACTAGCAATGGAAGAAGAAAGTGAACTATGTACAGTTCTTCCCCTCACTTCCATCACAACCACAAATCTATCGAATATGTTAAAAAATAACGAGAACACTGGATCAGGTACAAAGAGCAGCTTTCCTCTACACTCCTGACAGCAAGCAGCGCGGCACAAGACACTCTGCACAGCAGTTTCACCTTCTGCCGTGAAGGGACAAGACAATAAACACCGCGAAAGCCGAGTGACTCAGACCGATGCACGCAGGCCGGGACTTGGGGATGTTCCTGCTTGTCCACCCGCTGCCCGGGAGGGCGGGCCCCGAGCGACCCACGGCGACGAGAGCTGCCAGGCCCGGCTGCCCGCGCCTCAGCCGGGCGGGCACCGGAGCCCTGTGGCGGGGAGAGGAAGACCTTGGCGACACGGGGCAGGGCGGAGCGCCGAGGCCCGGCTACGGCCGCGCCCCTCCCCCTCGCGGGGCAGGTGCGGCGCCCCCCCTACCCC